TTTTTTTCCGCCGCCTTTGCGTCACTTGGCCCTTCCTGGGCACTAGAGGGTGACCCATGGAAGAGGGGAAACTGAGGCACCGGGGGACGGAGGGGCCGCCTTTGGCTAGTTGCCGGGTGCTACTGGGATCCCCGAGCCTGGCGGGGACCTTCGGACCGGATGGGGAAACTGAGGCCCGGAGTTCTTCGGGCTCGGAGACTAGAACAGCCGCGTCTGCCGGTCGGGCCAGGCCCAGGTGAGAGGCCGGGGTGGCGGGGGCTGTCAGGGAGCCGGGACTCCCGGGCGTCTGGATGCTGCCAGTTGTGTGAGGTATTGCTCGTGTCCTCTCCGCATTGTTGGGGAAGGGTCTCCAGCAGTAGTCGCCCCCCCCACACCCCAAGGTATGGACCGGGGAAGACCAGACTGCGGGCTCCCGCGCTGACACCCCGCTGGGTCCCCAGCCCCTGGCACAATGCAGGCGTAGTAGCTGCCCTGTGACTTGGGCTTGGTTGAAAGAATTCGGGGCTGGAAGGGACAGCCACTAAGTGGGGTGGCAGGATCTCCCCCAGGTCACCACTGGCATGGTGGCCCAGTCCTTCTCTGGGGTGGGCTGGCCTGGGCACAGTAAGGTGTCTGGCACTCTCACTGATCCGCCCCCTACTCACTCATTGACGATAGCACCCCCCTCCGAATTGTGACAACCACCAATGTCCCTTGGCGCTGCCAAGTATACATTGGTGCAACTCTCCCTGGACTAGATGGGTGAGAAAAGATGCTGACCCGGCACTGGCCTTTGGGGCCTGCTTCTTCTCTGGGGTCAGGCTGCCCTGTGCAATGACTACTTGATGACCACTAAACCAAATGTACTGCCATGGGATCAATTCTAATTCATGGCGACCCCTATAGGATACAGTAGAACTGCCCCTGTGTGTTTCCAAGATGGTAATTATCATTTTCTCTTTTTTATAAATCATTTTATTGGGGCCTCGTACGACTCATCACAATTCATACACCCATCATGTCAAGCACATTTGTACAGTTATTGCCATCATCATTTTCAACACATTTTCTTTCTACTTGAATGGTAATTCTTTACAGGAGTAGAAAGCCTCATTCTCCCTGGGAGCAGCTGGTGGTTTTGAACCTGTGGCTCTTGCAGCAAACAGCCCAATTCGTAGCCACTACACCACCAGGGTTTCCCACCTTATGTTGTGATGTCACTCAGTGTCCCTGGGGGACAGAATCTCCTCCAGCCCCATTTCCTTAGACCAGGCCTGTGTTCCTATTTGGGGTCTGATAACTTGTCATGGGGGGGGAAGGACCGGCCTGTGCACTTTTGGGTGCTGAGTAACATCTCTGGCTGTCCCCACCCTGGTGCTACTCACATTCCCTGCCCTCTGAGTTGTGACCAATGTCTCCAAATTGTGTCAAGTTGACCCCTGCCCTTTCACACTTGAAGACCCCTGTGTTGGTGGAAGACTTAAAGTGAATACAAAGTGGGGCCACTGACCACCATGGAACTGTGGTGGTCTTTCTTTGACCCACTAGGGGTTCAAGAGCAGTAACGAAGAACACCGTCACTTTCTGTGATCATGCTCGCTACTTCACTCACTGACACTGAGTCAATGCCGACTTGCAGCGGCCTTGTAGGACAGGGTAGAACTGTGAGTTTCTGGGACTGGGACTCTACGCGAATACAAAGCCCCATGTGTCCCCTTGGAGAGGCTGGTGGCTTCAAACTGCTGACCCTGCAGTTAGCAGCCCAAAGCATAACCTGGGTGGCATCACAGAAAAAGGAGCAGATGGCCGCTTTCTGTGAAGGTACTGGGAGCAGCCGCTACCTCTTGGGATGTTAACCTGAGATGGTTTCCTGGGCCCTGTCGTGGCTGTGTTCATTTGCCTGGAAGCCAGGGACTCAGGACTTTGCACTGAGGGTGACCTGAAAATTGGTTTTTAAGTGGCTCATCAGTAGAGAGGGGAAAAAGTTCATGGATCTATTATTTTTCTCTAATGGAGAAGTAGTCTTTCCCTTGGAATATGCCCATGGCAGTGATCTGCGAGCTGAGGTGGGGAGCAGTTTCACCAATGGCTTCTTTGTTTTGAGTGTCTTGTTTTTTTAGAAAATCCCAGTCAGCCTTTTTAAAATATTCACAATCACATATATTTTACAAAAATATGTGTAGATTGCCCGAAATAACTAGATTCCCTCCCATCCAGGTTTTCTAGCAGGTGCAAGCTTCTAAACTTACTCCAAACTATTTGAAGTTGCTACTCTGAAGGCGTGCTTCTATTTGGGGGCATTTCTGCCTCCACTTGAGAGTATTCTTTGCTTTTCTTGAGATTTTTTGTGGAGGAGGCAGGGTACAGGAACATGTCCCATTTTAATTTTGGGCGGCACTTCAGGTCCTTCACGACAAGCTCAAAGTGCTTTAAATTCTATCACTGTCAAGATGTATTTTAAAACTGAGTTGCCTCACTCCAATACACAGAGGGTTGCGGATGGGAAGAGGATATTTTAGGGTCGCACCCAACTATTCGAGTCTGACTCATGGCAAACCCACGTTATCTTCCTCTGTCCCTGCATCCGTCAACCACCTGCTGTGGGCCAGCCCTGGTGCTAGGTGTACAGTTGACATCCTATTGGGTTGGAGACAAAAAAATGGTAATGTTTCAGGCAAAGAAAAGATGTGATGGTGTCTAGGATGGGGGTTCCCCACCTGGGCACTGTGAATTTGGGGTGTGGAGCCACCTCAAGTGGGGCATCCTGGGCACTGAAGGCTGCTGAGCAGCATCCCTGGGCTCCTGAGACTCTCTCCCACCCCAACTTGTGACATTTACAAATATCTCCAGACATGGCCAACTGTGGAGGGGTGGGCAAAATAGCTTCTGCTGGTTTCATTACCGCCATTATTTACTGACTTACCCTCTGTACTTTTTGTCCACAGCCATGGATTGCAAAGACAGACCAGCTTTTCCAGTCAAGAAGTTAATACAAGGTAACTTTCTGGGGACAGGTTAAAGGGTGACTGCTTACCGGAAGAGAACTTCTATCCCTGGTGCACGCCTCAGTTCCATTTGCACAAAGGCCGTTTATTGGTACCCTGGGGAACAGAATCTGGGCTGCAGGGGAGGGAGCAATAGCCACTTACAGCAGAATCTTAGAGCAGCGCTTTTTTATGTGGATGGTCTCACAAGGTGCCCTGGTGACAACAGTTAAGTGCTTGGCTGCACATCCAGAGGCTGGTTATTCCAACTCACCCACGAGAAAGGGCTGGTGAGCTGCTTCCCTGAAGACCACAGCCAAGGAAACCCTGGTGGACAGCCCTGCCCTGTCACAGGGCAACACTCTGAGATGGAGGCAGCCCGACGGCACAGGACGACGTGCCTAGCCACACACCCAGAGATCACTGCTTCAGCAGTGGGGTTGCCCTCCTTTGGCACTGTGACAATTTGGGCCAGATCTTCTTTGTTACAGGAGCCGTCCTTTGTGTTGTAGGATGTTTAGTAACATCCCTGGTCACCAGTAGCCTCCTCAGTTTTTGCCACCACCCCATCCCTAAATGTGGCCAGACATGGCGAGGCGCTCCCGAGAGGCAGTGTTGTGACCCCCACTGCATTTGCAGGAGCTGGGTTGCAGTAAGTAGCCTCATCCTTGCTGATTTCAAAGCTCGAGTATCGAGTTCCCTGAGAGTTCCCTGTAGGTAACTGGTGTTGGTGGAAGTCCCACTAGGGACCATCCTCTCCCGAGGTTAAAGGTTCAGGTGGTTTTAGGACCCAATAGCTCTGAGTTGTCCTGGAGCATTGTTAGAAGCTAGTGGAAATGTTCTGACATCCTGATCAGCGTGGGCACTGGAGGGGTAGCCACAGTTGTTGGGCTGGCAGTGCCAGATTGTCTCCACTTTTACTGTGCTCCTTCCATACCTGAGGCTGGGGTGCCAGGGACAGAAAGATGCAGTCCCCATTCAGTACTGCTGAGCTGACTTGGCTCCTGGCCACCCCAGTGAGACAGCTGTCTTCAGAAAGGACTTTCACCACTGCAGGTATGGATTTGAAATCTAAATTAGCCCTTGAAATAGAGCAGAAAATGACTCTTGACGTTCTGGTAGCACTCCCTAAAGGCTTGTCGGGCTTTGGGATGTCATTGATGTTTAATTAGGATGCCACATAGGCACTTGGTGAGGAGTGGCTGCTTGTTAAACCTGAGTGGTGTTGCTGCCCCAGGCCTGCGGTCTGGCATCTGAAGGCACTGCGAGGTTATTGCTGGGTGCCCGAGAGTTGATTCTGACTCCTACCGACTGAGTAAAATTGGCTCCAGGACAGCTTCCTGGCCTACCGCCTCTACGGAAGCAGATCACCACATCTTTCTTCCAAAAAGCCACCAGGTGGCTTTGAACCACTGGCCTCTCTGTTCAGAGACTGGAGCTTAACCACCAGGGCACCTGACTCATGTCTTGACACCTTTGCTAACAAGTGGGCCTCCTTCCCTCTCGCTTCTTTCAGCTCGCCTGCCTTTCAAGCGCCTGAGTCTTGTCCCTAAGGAGAGATCAGATGATGGCTTAGATGACGGAAGAAGCCCCCCGAGTGTGTTGCAGAATAAAGCCCCTGACCCCGATGACTCTCCGGACCCCTTGGAGAGCGACTGCCATGAAGCTGCAGAGATCAAACTGCGACCAGAACTTGTCAACGGCAAGGGCCCTTTAGATAACTTCTTGATCAGATGCCGGAGCAACCCCAGCGTGCCCACTGTCCTCATTGACCTGACAGAGGACTCAAGTGAGCAGGCAGACAGCCCCATGGACCTCATTGAGCACAGTCCCAAAGCCTCGCCACCCCGGGCAGCGCTTAACGGGTTGCAGGAGGAAGGCCAAGGTGAAGGCCAGGACAAGTTGGCGTCTCCAGAAGGGCCCCTCCCTGACCTGCCCTTCCCTGCACAGGAGCCTGACTCCCGGGACAGCAAGAGGCCTGCAGACAGGCTGGAGGGCTGCCCCAAACTGACAGCTGGCCAGAGCACATGCCCCCAAAGGGGACAGCAGCCAGGTTGGAGGCAGGCAGGGGGCATCCTGTTCCAAGGGAAGGTGCCCGTGGTGGTCTTGCAGGATATCCTGGTGACCGGAGTGCCCTGGGCGAACGAGGGGCTGGGTTCTTGTCCCGAAGAAGACTCTGTCCTCAGCCACTCCTCTCTGAGTTCGAGCTCTACTGTCAGTTCCCCCGAGGGGCCACCTGCTTCTAGGAGACCCTGTATCGGTGGCCCCTGCCCTGCCCCCACACCTACCGGCAGAGTGAGTATTATCCACTTCCCCTCACGTTGTGTATGCACTGGGCCCCACACCAGCCAGGTGGCTCATGGGACCAGAAACAAGGTTTTGGTACTTCTGAGGTAGACAGATGCCTTTCTGATCCCAGAAAGTACTTCCCTATGTGGCTGTGTGGCCTGGTGACCAGCAGGTGGTGAGGGTCTGAGGGGAGCTGTTGCTATTCCCACTCAGGCGACAAAGTAGAACTCCCCGCAGGGCTTCCTGTACTCTAATCTTCCTGGAAGTGGGCCTGACTGGCCCTTCGTGCATGGAGCTGTCGGGAGAGGGGATTCAAAGGTGGCCCTTTAGATCTTGTTTGATCATGCTAGCTCAAGCTGGGGTGGAGGTCAGGAGGGTGGGTTCAGCTCCTGCTCAAAGTTCCAGGATTTGCCTCCATGCTGTTTCACCTGGTCTCTGGTGTCTTTGTGGTAGAGGGTCTGTGTAGGCTGGCTGTCTGCCCAGTGGGCCATCTCGCCGGACACAAGTCCTTGGTTGTAGTCTCCTCAGAAGCAGGCCGCCATGCCTTGGCTTCTGTGGAGTTGTGGGGCAGGTTGAAACTGCCCTTCAGAAGCGCATACGTCACCTCCAGACCTTGGTGGAGAAGACCATTGGGAATGAACCCCCAGTTGTGTCTGACACTTTCGCTTCTTCACAATGGGTTTTCTGACAGAGTGGGTGGGTGGGGGGGCAGAGGGGCAGGCTGGCAACCTCCCTCCCCAGCATTGGTTAAAAGGAGAGCAAAACTGAATTTGCTGCCTTTGAGTCAATCCCAACGAAGCGAGACCCCATAACGGCAGAACTGCCTTTGAGGGTTTCTGAGGCCTAAGTGTTCATGAGAGCAGACACCCTCCTCTCCTACAGAGCAGCTGGTTGTTTTGAATGTGTAGCCCATTACGCCACCAGGGCTCCCCTTCTACTTTGCAGTTGCTCAAAATTGACTACCAGATCTCCTCTGGCCAGCCCTCTAGCTCCCTGCAGTCGGAGGCTTGCTTTTTGTACCCACTGTTGAGATTATACAAGTGAAATGCAAATCACTTCAAAGCTTCTCCATATCCAGTTCCGACACTGGTGATGGGCTTTGACATGCGAAGCCATTCCTCCCTGGGAAGCTCCCTGAGAAAAGAACTGTCCCCTGGGGCTTCTGTCTTCTCTTTTGTGCTGCTGTTGTCCCTTTGATCCCTCCCAGATAGTTGTCCGTGCTCTGGGCAGACGTGCTTGGCTAATGAAGCTAGTTTGGCCTAAAGGAGACTTCAGGGGCTCTTTTTAGTTTGGCATTTAATAGCGCTCTCTGGGCAATCATTGAGGGAGTTCAGCTCCCTTCCATGGCTCCAAAAGTCTGAATTGCATGAGAAATTGAAATTCTGCTGTACACTTTCCCTCGTTTGATCCAGACTCTTTAGCATCTTTAATCAAAATTTCCAGCTATCATAGCTGGCCACCATCCAGTTTCTTCTGGTCTCGTGGTTTGTGGAAGTGATTAACCACACATCCCGTACGTACCCTCTTTCCCTTGCTGCTCCAGATGAGTGGGCGGGGTGTACCCTGGTCTGCTGGGTGTACAGGCCCTGCTGGAGAGCCCAGCTACAAGATGCCAGCTCCACTCACAGGCTCAGCTCTTCTACTTGTGCCCTTGTCTATCACCAGAGGTGCCCTGCTTCAAGGTGGCTCCTGTCCTGGCAGCCCTGCATGGGACAGAGTAGACCTGCCCTCCACAGGCTTTGTCATGGCTGGTTTCTCAGAAGTCAGGTTGCCAGGCCTTTCTTGCATTGCCAGTTGCTGCTGGGTGAATTCAAACCGCCAGTGTTTGGCTCTTTGTTAACCATTTACACCATCTTCTCATTGCCTCAGTCTGGAAGCTCTGCTGAAAACCTGTTCACTTTGGGTGACCCTGCTGGCATTTGGAATACCAACGACATAACTTCCAACATTACAGAAACACAAGCCACACAGGGCAACAAACTGACAGACAAGTGGTAATTGTCAAGGATTTTGTCTTGCTTAGATCCACAATCAATGCCCATGGAAGCAGCCGTCAAGGGACGAGTTGCATGAGGTAAATCTGCTACACAAGACCTTCAGAATATTGACAAGTAAGGATGTTATCTTGAGCACGAAGGTGCACCTGACCCAAGCCATAGTAGGTTCCATTACCTCATGTGCATATGAAAGGTAGCTCTTGAATAAAGAAGACTGAAGAATTGATGCATTTGAATTGTGTTGCTGGAGAAGAATATTGATAGCTAAAAGGACAAAACGATCTGTCGTGGAAGAAAAATGGCCAAAGTGCTCCTGAGAGGCAAAGACTTGCATACTTTGGACACGTTGTCAGGGGAGACCAGTCCCTGGAGAAGGACATGCTCAGTAACGGGGAAGGGCAGCGAAGAAGAGGAAGGCCCTTGATAGGATGGACGGACACAGACGCTGCAGCCATGGGCTCCGGCATCAGCGACGGTGAGGATGGCACAGGACCGCAGTGTTTCCTTCTGCTGTGCACAGGGTTGCCATGGATCAGAACTGACTCGACAGCAGCTCACTGTCTTTCTGTATTTAAAAAAATCTCTCACTGTAGATACAAGTTTACACAGCAGATCAGGTTCCCATTGGACAATTTTTATACATATTATCCCACGACACTAGTTACATATTTGGCAATGTGTCAGATTCGTATTGTGTGTAGGCACATATACTGCATATCCGTGACCCATCCAGATAAAGCTTACATAGCTGGCATAGGGAACTAATGGACGTGCTAACCCAAGCAAGACCACAATTGGCCTTGATTCACCTGGAGCAACAGAGGGGGAGTCAGAACGGGAGGAGTTAAACTCACATATCGTTATGTACAGATGTATGTATACCATGATGCATACATTTGTGTACAGATATGGTATTTCTTTGCATCTGCCCTCCCTCTCCCATCCTCCATCCTTCTTGTCTTTGCTATAGGGGAAATGCTGACCGTTAAGCCAGTCTGTGACTTGCCTGAAAGGAGACTTCCAGAGTGGCTCAGTTCCCGGTTAAGGGGTTGTCTCGGCCGAAAGTCACAGGGGATCCTTCCGTCCGTCTCTATGGATTCCTGAGGTCTGGGCTTTAGGAACTTGAGCTTCGCTCTACATACTTTTCCCCTTTCTGTCCGGGACCATCTATTGTGTCCCAGACCAGAGCAGTTGGGAGTGGCAGAGGGGCACCAGGTAGTTCTTCTGGTCTCAGGCTAGGTGCTGCCAAGTTTAGGTGGGCCACCAATCCTCTGGGCTGATGTCCTGCTCTGTAGCGGGCACCCAAGCCTGTGCGTACAGCAATGACGCGCTCTGCTACTCAGAACCCATCCAGCAGCTCCGCGGAAGAAAGACCTGACGATGTGCTCCTCTAAATAGGACAGCCTGTTGCTTCCCAGCCTTCTGACTAAGAGCAAGTGTAAAGATGGCAGCCTAGAGAACCACGGGGAGCAGCTCATTGTACTCTCATTCGGGGTTGCAGCTGTTTCCCCAGCCGCATTTCTTGTTTCTTCGGATCTTTGCCACGTTGGGGGTGCATTTGTTCTGTCATTACCCACCCTTCCCTTCCAGATTGCAGGGAAACTTGCTTGTGGGTTTCATCACAGCTGCTAGTGCTGGCGTTTGTACTTGAGTGGCGGCAGTTTGTGGCCTTGAGAGCCAGGTGGGAGCTCAGCAGGGCTCCCTCTGGGATTCTGGGATGTCCTAGACCATGTTCCATTTTCTTAGAGAAGTACTCTGGGTGGGCGGGATGGTTTGGCTTGGAGGAGTGCTGAGTTGGCAACACCTGCTTTGAGGGGCCGTTGGAACAGCTGAAGTGGTTAACACTGGAGGGTCTTTCCAAATGGGGTAGGAATTGGGGATTGAAATGGTTCTTGAGCTTCCTTACAAGCAGCAATTTGAGTGCTTTGGGCCCTCTGCGTAACACAGGCATGCTGCTGGGCTTGAGGGCTGCCTCTGAACCACATGACTCTGGGTTGCCCAGACACTCTCCCATATCATTTAGATGATGATTAAGATGATGGGGGTCGGCAGTCCTTTATAATTCTTAACCACCCTCCAGGACAGAGTAGAACTGCTTATGGCAAGGGTCCTCAAAAGTTTTAAAACGGGGCCAGTTCACTGTCCCTCAGACCCGTTGGAGGGCCGGACTATAGTTTAAAAAAACACTGTGAACAAATTCCTATGCACACTGCAAATATCTTATTTTGAAGTGAAGAAGCAAACTGGACAAAAACACCGGCGGGCTGGATAAATATCCTCGGCGGACCACATGTGGCCCACGGGCCATAGTTTGAGGACGCCTGGCCTATGGGGTTTTCCAGGCCTTGGATTGCTAAGCGTGAGGTCCGCAGTTGGAAACCACCAGCTGTTCTGCAGGAGAAAGATACAGATGTCTACTCCTACAAAGCATTACAGTTTGGGAAACACAGAGGCAGGTCTGCCCTGCCCTCCAGGGTCGTTGCGAGTTGACATTGACTCCGTGGCAGTGAGTTTGAGTTCTTTTTAATCTTTAGGGGAGCAGATTGTCCAGTCTTCTCCCGAGGAGTCACTGGGGGGGTGTGAATGAACGGCCAGCCTTTTGGTTGGCAACTGAGTGCTCAACTGTTGTGCCACCAGGACACATTAATATAAATGATGCAAGTGTTTGGTTTTCTGTGTTTAAAATCTATGTTCCAGCCCCTCTGCCCTGTCTCCCTATGACTGGGAGGGCAGGAAGAGGCACTTTCTTAGGCTGGGTCTATAGGACCAGGCCTCTCAGCTGACCTCTTGCCCCTGCCTGTGCTGGGAGGGAATGGCTGCTCCATGCTTCTTGGGGGTGGGAGCCCTACCATGTATGTCATCCTCTCAACCCAGCAGTATCCAGTGTCCTTGAACGTCTGGGTGGGGTGTGTTGTCAGACATGCATCCACCCATTCTGACCCAGCTCGCTCTCCATGCTCCTGATCATTCATGCTGTGCAGTGGCCAGTACTCGGGGTGCTGGGGCTTCTGTGGAAGTGGTGGCACAGGTTCAAGAGCTCGGTTGCTAAGGATGTGGCCGTCTGCCTCCAGGAACATGGATAGCCTTGGAAACCTTATGGGGCACCCCACTCTGTCCTGCCAGGTTGCTGTGAGTCAGAATCGCTCCATATGAGTCTTTGTCAGGCTCCAGCGGAGGGTATGGATTAACTTACGAGGCACAGAACAGGACGGGATCCAGCACATCATTTGGCTTGCTCTCATGCTTTCACGCTGGGGCAGCCACAGGCCAGCCGCGCAGACTGCTGGGTTCTGGCCTCGTGCCTCGGCATCCATCTATTGCTCTGTTGGCCACCACAGTCTTCAGTTTCTCTCCCCTATGCACACGCACATGCACGCTGTGTTCGGTTGGCTGCTGGTAAGCTAGCCACTCAACCTTGTTGGGTGGTTTTACGTAGCCCATTGGCATAGTGGGCTGACCACACTTCCTGAGGGTTTTGCGCACCTTATTTGTGTAGGAAGTTGTTGGATCCCTTTGTGTGGCTGTGGCCCAGCAAATCCTCTAGTAGAACTGACAGCCCTGGGCTAGAAAGGCCACATGTACAAAGAAAGCCTTCCCCCTGCAGTCATTTGCTGGTGGGCGCTCCTGTGGCCTTTGCAGACAACCACCATGCCCAGCCTCCTCTGGCTGCCTGGTGAGCAGGATTGCTTGCCCATGGGAGCACACACAGCCCTCCTGCCCCCTCACCCGTCATGTGGTTCGTCCTGTTTGGGCTTTCTCCACCCTGCCACACCTTCTTGCGTCTGTCCCCTGGGCCTGGCCAGAGAGCCCCATCCTTAGCCCCATGGGGTTATCTGCCACAAGCTGAGCAGGTAGACACCCTGAGCCTTTCACGGGGATGCCTGCACAGAAAGGCCTGGAGGTCTGTCTCTGCAGCGTCAGC